CCTTATGAGAAACCCTGAGCTAGAACCACCCCCTTTTAATTCCTGACCTACAGACACTGTGAAATAATGAATGTTTCTTGTGATGGTGTTAATACATTTTACAATATGTTTCAGCAATACATCACCAATACAGAAGGCAAAGCTCAGCTATATGCTGCCATGTTTGCTCTGCTGTGTCCTGTAGTTAGGGGCAGCCACTGCAAAGTTATTGATGAACATGATCTTTAACTGTATCATGACACCGGGTGGAGAGCAGGTTTGAAGAGGGTGAGACTGGAGGCAGGACAGCAGGGCAGGAGGTTTGTCCAGGTGAGAAAAGATGAAGGACTGACTTGCATCTGAGGAAGTCAAGACATCCTGAGGGGAGATAACGAGAGAGAACTGAGGACTGACTGGATGGGTAGAGGAGTAATGGAGTGGTCTGTGAGGACTGGTAGTTTTATAGCGTGGGTGACTGGGCAGGAGATAGGTCATTCACAGAGCTGGGGATACAGGAAGACATGCAGATTGGGCGGTGGGAAAATACTGAGCTAATTCCTGGATGTTTTGAGTTTGGGGTGCTTGTGGGATATTCAGTTAAAGAGGTCTCGGCGGCCGGGCGCGATGGCTCACGCCTATAAATCCAGCACTTTGGGAGGCCGGGGCAGGCAGATCACAAGGTCAGGTGTTCCAGACTAACCTGGCCAACATGGTGAAACTCCAACTCTACTAAAATACAAAAATTAGCCAGGCGTGGCAGTGGGCACCTGTAATCCCAGCTACTGGAGAGGGCAAGGCAGGAGAATGGCTTGAACCTGGGAGGTGGAGGTTGCAGTGAGCCAAGATCACGCCACTGCACTCCAGCCTGGGTGACAGAGTGAGACTCTGTCTCAAAAAAAAAAAAATAAAATAAAATAAAATAAATAAATAAATAAATATAAAAGGTCTAGGCATGGAGCTTCAGGTGTCCGGAAAATTCTGTCCTGATAGTGTGAAATAGATCTACTTAATGAACTCCAAAAACAGAGCAGTGGATAGTTTTGATGCTATACCTGCAAATAACCAAAAACAGTGTTAGCGTCTAGAAAATGCACCCCCTTTAAGGCTCCTGAATGGGATTTTAGGTTATGTGAATGCTTAAAATAATAATAATAATAAGCAACAGCATCTAGCACTTTCAGGAAGTAACTGGGTAAAATTACAGCCTCTAGCTGATAGCTGTCTGCTGGTGGCATCTCCTCCCCACTCACACCATGGTATATTCTTCTAAATTAGTAGTTCTCAACCTTGGCTCTGCATTCAAAGCACCTGGAAAATTTCATGAGGATTAAGTGGAATGGTTTAAAAATAACTGTCAGATGGCAGATGTTTGCTATCGCTTTCTTCCTGCCTAAAAAGTGAGACTACACTCTTACCTCTCTCCCTCTCCTGAACCAAAAGGGATCCTCTCATTGAAAGAGTTTTGTACAATGCAAAACTTTATTCAAATATATGTGTCTCTAAAAGATAACTCTTAAGAAACATAGCCACAATACTATCACATCTCAATTATCCATAATTCCTGTATATAAAATATCCAATCAGTATTCTCATGTCCCTCACTAGTTGAATTTTTGTTTGTTCAAATTAGAATAAAGCCCAGTTGCTTCAATTGATATGTCTCCTCAATCTCTTTTAATGTATAGAGTCTACCACCATGTTTCTTTTTCCCCTGTAATTCATTTATTAATGAAACCAGGTCATTTTTCTTGTAAACTTCCCTTCAGTCTAGGATTTACTGACTGCATCCTCATGTGTTTTAAAAACAAACTTTTACAAAAAGTTTTACACTTGCAGGCCAGGTGCAGTGGCTCACTCCTGTAATCCTAATATTCTAGGAAGCGCAGGTGGGAAGATAGCTTGAGGTCAGGAGTTGGAGACCAGCTTGGGCAATATACTAAGACTCATGTATATATTTTTAAAAGCTTTTTACATTTACAGGAAAATTGTGGAGACAGTACCTAGAGTTCCCATTACTCCAACTAATTTACTCTATAATTAACATCTTACATTATGGTACATTTCTTGCAATAATGAACCAATTTTGATACATTATCATTAGACAAAGTCTATACTTTATTCAGATTTCTCTAATCCATTTAGTCATGTCATGTGTCCTTAGGCTAGTCTTTACTGTGACAGTTTCTCAGACTTTCATTGTATTTCATGATTGCTATTGACTGAATATTTTTGTTCCCCCTAAATTCATACGTTAAAATCCTAACTCCCAATTTATTGGCATTTGGAAGTAGGGCCTTTGGGAGGTGATTAGGTCATGAAGACAGGGGCCTCACAAATTAGATTAGTGACTTTCTAAAAGAGGTGAGTACATGTCTATAAATATTTCCCTATGTAAACATATGTAGCAATATTAAGTTAAACATGAGTTAATACTGATGTCTCCAACTGAAATCCACTATTACATGGATCATTCTAGTCTCTTCCTGATATTTTAAAAAGGGGCATCTTTATATTTCTAATAATTGGTATTTAGGTTGAGATTCAACTTCAATTTTGTGAAAGAAAAATTAATAGGAGGTGATGTATTCTTCCATCATGAAGTGCACAGTAACTGGTTGCCTTTTCATGATGTTAGCAACCATTGATGATCATTCCCTAGGATCCATTAATTCTTTAAAGTTAAAAAAAAAAAATGTAAAATTGTTATTGGCTCCTTCTTCTTTGATTAGCTAGAATACTTAAAACAAAAATTTCCTCTCATCAACTATTTAGTAGCCCTGAGGAAGCGCCCATATAAAAAAGGCAGGATGGGCTGGGCACTGTGGCTCACGCCTGTAATCCCAGCACTCTGGGAGGCCAATGTGGACAGATCACATGAGATCAGGAGTTCAAAACCAGCCTGGCCACCATGGTGAAACCCTGTCTCTACTAAAAATACAAAAATTAGCTGGGCGTGGTGGTGGGCACCTGTAAGCCCAGCTACTCAGGGAGGCTGAGGCATAAGAATCGCTTGGCCCTGGGAGGCAGAGGTTGCAGTCAGCCAAGATTGCGCCACTGCACTCTCTAGCCTGAGTGACAGAGCAAGACTCCATCTCAAATAAATAAATAAATAAAATAAAAAAGCATGATAAATGCTTAATTCTTTTCCTCATTATTTTAAAAATGAATTGGTTCCTTAGCATCCTCCTAGACTGACCACAGAGCTATTTTTGGTTCCATGTACCATTATGAACTTGAAGCAGCTTTTTAGGTACATGGCTCAGCCCTCTACCTCCAGCCTTGAGTCCTGGGCATTCTACCTCAGGATAGTGAAATGGGGGATGGTTGGTGGGGGTGGGGATGTGGGGCAGAGGCAGAGAGGGATTTGAAAGAGATGGCAAGGTTGGGGGCTCTTAAGGGCTTCCATATTCCTTCATCCAGAAAAAGCTCTGGTCTCCAAAGCATTAATTCCTGAATAGCTGTTGCCTTGGTTTTTATAGATTTCGTGTTGCCTGATTTGAGTCCATCTTTAAACGTCTCTTCAAGCAACCAGGAAAGAAAGAACAGCCTGAAGATCTGGAAAGGGCATGTTTAACCCTAAATCCTTAAAAGTAGCTAATCTAGGAGACAAGGTCACCTTTGAAATGCTGGGGAAAGGGGTAGATCACCTCTTCTCCACCTTAGCTATTAGTTACCTGAAACACCTTTGAAAAGCCAAATATGTCCCTGCATTGCCTCCACAGATTCTGATTCAGTTGGTCTAGTTAGAACCCTGAAATTGGCCGTTGTTATCAGCTTTTAGAGCAAAGTGAGTGTAACATGAAGCCAGGCCATTTCCAAGTCCCCAGAATGATAGCAGGCCATCGTGGATTGTATCACACCTAGAGCTTTATCACCTTGATCTGGCCGTCTGATGTTAGTAGTTGGCATGTCCACCCTGTAACTCAGAAGACTAAGCTAGGAAAATGATGCCCAACAGTTTTCATCCTTGATGAGTGTGGCTCATTTCCAACCCCTGGGTCTTTAACATAACACACAGCACTGTGCCCCAACCCTCGACTCCAAGAATGGCTACATTTACTTTCTGCCTGGCACTGTTGTAAGTGCTTTACATATCTCAACATCCCTAATAGGTTGGTATCATCTCCACTGAACAGATGAGCTATTGCGATCTGAGGGAGTTAAGTGGCTAGTTAAGGTCATAAACCCGTTTCTGGGTGGGTCCGGACTCTTTCCCACCACCTGCTGTCACTTACAGGCTGTGACTTTATGCCCAGCCCCCCTCAAGGAGCTGCCTCCTGCTTTCTATTGCATAATCAATATCAACACCTGGTGTAGGGGCGCTCTGCAGGGTGGGGAAGGCCTGGCCTGGGGTGAGGGATCCTGCATTTCAGCATCAGGCCCTGAGTAGGCCTCTGCCCTAATGGTAGGGTAACCCACCCTCCTTCACAGCTCAGAGGTCTCAGGGTGTGTGAGGGAAAGACTAGAAAGCCTAGGAGGCTTCTACCTCTCACCCCTCCTCACTCCCAGTCCTGGACCACAGGATTTCACTCACGGCTCCTTCCACCCCCATACTTCCCCTGAAAATCTCACTGTCCTGTGACTTCTCCATGTGCCATTTCCTGTGCGTCAGACCCCCACGATCAGCTGCCCACTGCCTATGGCCACCCCAATACCTGACTAGAACTACACTTATCACTGCTTACCCTTCTCCTACTCTCCCCTTCTCAGAAAATGACACCACATCCAGGAAACTCTGAACCACCACTAGCCCAGCGCTCCCTCTTCCCCATTCACTCAGTCACCAAGTCCCCTCAGTTTCACCACTCAAGATAGTTGTTAGACCATGGCGCCTCTCCATCCCCATTTCCCTAGGATGGGCCTTGGTGTCTGAGGCCAACCCTGCCTCATTTCCTCCTAACGCCCACCCAGGCCTTGTGCTTTGTGTACCACCACACCCAGCCAAATGTACTTATTGCTTCTTTGGCTCCCAGCACTCAACTGAGCGCCCCAGTTCTTCCTCACCTGCTGGGACACTCCAGATGACTCCAGATGGTGAGGTAGGCGTTTATGTACCAGCCTTGCTCCAGGTTCAGGGCGCTGCCATACCTTCAGCGCCCCCCCGCCGCAAGCCCAACCCAGAGGCTGTTTATGGTTTCCCTAAGGTTCCTGGGTCCTCGACATCAGTCCGGTCTGCAAGCCCCGCCCTGATTGGCTGCCTCCCGCACCGGTAGCGGCGCCCAGACCTGAGGTGCCTCGGTTCCTCCCGTTATCCCTGAAGGGATGGGGCCTTGCGACACCGCCCACTCTCGGATGGGTCCGAGGTGAGACCCGCCCTTGTGCCCTCGTGGGCCTTCGGGACAGCGGAGGAGCAGTGTCGGGCCGTGGCCAGGGCCGGCAGGCTGGAGCTGGCCGAGGCTCTGGCGCTGGGGCCAGGCTGGAGGCCTGCCTGCTATGCGCTCGCCTGCACGCGCCTGACCCTGGGATTCTCTTTGGCCGCCTCCGCCTGCGCTACGCCATACTGGTGAGGAGGGGGTGCGCCCGGCCTCTCTCCACTATGGCCCTGCCCCTCCCTGTGGCGCTACTCTTGGGTGTCCCTGCCAGTCCCAGCTTCCTCCTCTCGCAGATGCAGATGCGCTTCGATGGGCGCCTGGGCTTCCCTGGCGGATTCGTGGACTCGCAGGACAGCAGCCTGGAGGACGTGCTGAACCGTGGTCTGCTGAAACAGCTGGGCGAGGCGGCGGCCGCCTTCTGTGTGGAGCGCCCTGACTGCCGCAGCTCCCACGCTGGATCAGGGCCACGCGTTGTGGCCCACTTCTATGCCAAGTCTCTGACTTCTATGCCAAGTCGGCTGTGGAGTCCAGCGCAACAGGCGCCAAGGACCACGGGCTGGAGGTGGGACCAGTCTGGGACCCTGCTCCGTATCCTATTCCTTTCCCTTCCCTTCCCTTCCTTCCTTTGCCTCAGAAACTCTTTTTGGATTGAGGTCCCCGTCTGTCAGAACTTGCCCTCCTCCCCATTTTCTTGGTGGAGTTGAGATCTTGGTCTTCTCTTATTGAATGGTACTGCCAACCTAGGTTCCCGGGAAGATTTCCACCCACCTCGCCCTTTACTGGGCTCTGGAGAGATTTTTCTAGAATACACTTATCCACATCTCTCAGCTGCTCTCTGTTGATAATGTGTAAATGGCCAGGCATCTACCCTAGTCCCTTATTGTTGGGCCTCTGTTTTTCTTAGGAAGAAGATATGGCCCTAATACTTAAGGCCAGGGCGGGAGACAGATTGTATACGGAGGTGGTTCTCAAATTTTGTCAAGTATGAGAATCATCTGTGAGGCTTATAAAAACAAAATGACTAGATTCTACTCCCAGAATGCTGGTAGTGGGTGAGAAAGCACCAGCTTCCACCACTCCCAAGTCCGGGGGGCAGGGGTTCAGAAATCTGAGAATTTGTTTTTTTCAAAAGTTCCCAAGTGATGCTAATAACGCTGGTCTAGGTTTCCCATTTTGAGAACCATTGTTGCAGGGTTAAGCATGAATTTTGGCGTTAGGAGCCAATAGAGTTTTGGGGGACAGATGTCATAAGGATTAACATCGATGGAGCTGGATAGCATGTCTTGGGTCATTTGCAGAGCGTTCGGTCCACTGGGCCTCCTTTAAATAGGAGCCTTGGACTTGTTTCTGCTGGAGTATTAAGGGTTGAGGCATCTGCTCTAGAAAGATCTGCTAAAGAGAGGATGGAGGTAGTGACATGAGCTACCTGGAGTCCCAGTGTCTCCTGTCTCCTTACTTTTACAGGTGCTGGGCCTGGTGCGAGTGCCCCTGTATACCCTGCGTGATGGTATGGGAGGCCTGCCCATCTTTCTAGAGAATTGCTTTATTGGTGCTGCCCGGGAGCAGTTACTGGATACCCTCCATGACTTGGGAGTGGTGGAAGCTGGTCTTTCTCAGGCCTTCAGATCCCAGTTTGTCTGAGGCATCCCTCTGTGGACTCAGGGAACCTGAGATGAGGACTTTGGTACAAGGAAGGGAATGTTTTCTCTTCTGGACCTAAAGATGATACCAAATTAAAAGAAGACATGTATATCATATGTTTTGAGCAGAGGACCCTCCAATTCATGGGATCAGGGACAAAAATCCACAGCTCATCCCAGGGGCCCTGGCAGGTTCTCAGAGCCTACCTCTTCCTTGTGCATTTGCATACAGCCTGGTAACCCCCAGACATGCATATGTACAATGTGACCACACACAGCCTGACATCTTTCACCTGTGAGGCTCAATTTAAGCAGGAATTGGCATTTTTTACCATAGCCTGCCTCTTGCTTTGCAGAGAGCTTCTACAGCAAGGGTGAGTCCTTCCCACAGTCCTCCATGGCTGCTCTTTAGGGTCTAGCCCAGCCCATGTTTTTTGGGAAGGATAGAGAAGCAGAGGACCCTCTTTGCTTTCCTGAAAGTAGCCATGCCCTTGCTGGAGGGTTCACCAAAGCAATTGGTGGGAGAGGGTCTTAACCAACCTCCAACACTTTGCTTCTCCTGAAACTGAGAAGGGGTAAGGAAGTAGCTAGGTCCCCTTGGACGGAGCATGGACGTGAGACCTGTGAGTACTGGTGTCTCTCCTTCAGAGCTTTCATCTTTGGTTCGCTGTAGACTCGGGGACTATCAGAAGAGAACTGACTCATACCTGTCCAGCCACTTGAGGCCCTTCACTTCTTTCAACAGCTATTTAATATGTACCTACTAAATACCACGTACTATAAAAGGTATAGAAAGCCATCCTTGCTCTCCAAGACTCCAGGGCAGGGATGGGCAAACATTTTCTCAAAAGCCAGATAGCAAATATTTTAAGCTTTGTAAACTACATAGTTTTTAAAAAAATATTTTCTAACATTGACTAATAAAAATTGCCTACATTTATTGTGTACAAAATGATGCTTTGAAATATGTATACATTGTGACGTGGCTAAATTGAGCTAATTAGCATATGCATTACCTCACATATTTATCATTTTTCATGGTAAGAACATAAAACTTACTCATAGCAATTTTCACAAATATAATGCAGCTATTAACTATAGTCACCATTCATGCAACAGATCTTTTGAACTTATTTCTCCTAACTGAAATTTTGTATTCTTTGATCAATATCTTCTCAATTACTGTTCCCTACCCCCAGCGCCTGGGAACCATTATTTTACTCTCTGTTTCTATGTGTTTAACTTTTTTAGATGCCATATATAAGTGAGATCATATGGTATTTGCACCTGGCTTATTTTATTTAACATGTCATCTAGGTTAATCCATATTGTCACAAATGACAGGATTTCCTTCTATTTTAAGGCCAAATAGTATTCCATTATGTATATATACCACATTTTCTTTATTCATTTCTCTGTTGATGGACACTTACATTGATTCCACATCTCGGCTATTGTGAATAATGTTGCAGTGAACATGGGAGTGCAGATAACTCTCCAGATCCTAACTTCAATTCCTTTGGATAAATACGCTATAGTGGGATTGCTGGACCATATAGTAGTTCTTTATTTTTAAATACCTCCATGCTGTTTTCCATGATGATCATACTAATGTACATTTCCACCAATATTGTGTAAGTGTTCCCTTTTCTTCATATTTTCTCTAATACTTATCTTTCATCTTTTTAAATCATAGCCATCCTAACAGGTATGGGGTGATATCCCATAGTGGTTTTGATTTTCGTTTCCCTAATAATTAGTGATGTTGAGCATTTTTTATATACCTATTGGTCTTTCTTTGAGAAATGTCTATTCAGGTCATCTGCCTCATTTTTAATTGGGTTATTTGTTTCCTTGCTATTGAGTTGTTCATGTTCCTTATATATTTTGGCTATTAACCTCTCATCAGTTGTGCGATTTGAAGTTATTTTCTCCCATTCTATAGATTGTCCCTTTACTGTGTTGACTGTTCCCTGTGCTGTGCAGAAGGTTTTAGTTTGATGTAATACCATTTGTCTATTCTGGTTGTTGTTGCCTGTGCTTTTGAAGTCTTATCCAAAAAAAATCATTGTCCAGACCAATGTCATGAAGCTTTTACCCCATTTTCTGTAGTTTTATAGTTTCAGGTCTTGCATTTAAGTTTTTAATCTATTTTGAGTTTATTTTTTATATGGTATGAGATAAGGTTCTAATTTTATTCTTCTGCGCAGAAATATGCAGTTGTCCCAACACCATTTATTGAAGAGATTATCTTTTCCCCATTGTGTATTCTTACCCTCTGTGGAAAATCAATTGACCATAAATGTGTGGATTTATTTCCAGGATCTCTATTCTGTTCCACTGGTCTATGTGTCTGTTTTTAATGACAGTACCATGCTGTTTTGGTTACTATAGCTTTGTGGTACATTGTGAAGTCAAGCAATATGATACCTCTAGCTTTGTTGTTTTGGTTAAGATTTTTTGGCTATTCAAAGTTTTTTGTAGTTTCATATGAATCTTTGAATTTTCTATTTCTTTGAAAAAAGTCAGTGGAATTTTGATAGGGATTGCATTGAATCTGCAGATTGCTTTGAGTAATATGGACATTTTAACAACATAAATTCTTCCAGTTCATTAATAAGGGATGTGTTTTCATTTATTTGTTGGGCCATTTATTTGTGTCTTCTTCAATTCCTTTTCTTTTTTTTTTTTTGAGACAGAGTCTCACTCTGTCACCCAGGCTGGAGTGCAGTGGCACCATCGCAGCTTACTGCAACCTCCTCCTCCCAGGTTCAAGAAAGTCTCCTGCCTCAGCTTCCTGAGTAGCTGGAACTACAGGCACGCACCATCATGCCCAACTAATTTCTGTATTTTTACTAGAGATGGGGTTTCGCCATGTTAGCTGGTCTCCAACTTCTGACCTCAGGTGATCCACCCACCGTGGCCTCCCAGAGTGCTGGGATTATAAGCATGAGCCACCCCACCTGACTTTCAATTACTTTCATCAATGTCTTATAGTTTTCAGTGTAGAGGTCTTTCATCTGTGTGACTAAATTTATTTATAAGCATTTTAATCTTTTGGTAGCTATTGTAAATGGGATTGTTTTCTCAATTTCTCCTTTAGATAGTTTGTTTTGTATTGTACAAAAATGCTACTGATTTTTGTATGTTGACTTTGTTTCCTGCAACTTTACTGAATTTGTTTTTTGTTCTAACTTTTTTTTGCTACAGTCTTTAGGGTTTTCTATATATATAAGATCATGTCTGCAAACAGGGAAAACGTAACTTCTTATCCAATTCGAATGCCTTTTCTTTCTTTTGAGTAATTGCTCTGGGTAGGACTTCCAGTACTGTGTTGCATCCTTCTCTTATTTGTGATCTTGGAGGAAAAGCTTTCAACTTTTTACCATCGAGTATGATGTCAGCTGTGTGTGGGTCATATATGGCCTTTATTACGCTGAGGTACATTTCTTCTATGCCTAATGTGTTGAGAGTTTTTAACATGAAAGGATGTTAAATTTTATCAAATGTACCTAGTGCGATGATTACATGTTTTTTGTCCATTCTGTTAATGTGATGAATCACATTGATTTGCACTTGTTGACAAGGTCTATCCTTGCATCCCAGGAATAAATCCCATTTGATCAGGGTGACTGATCCTTTTCATGTGCTGTTGAATTCAGTTTGCTAGCATTTTTTTTTTTTTTTTTTTGAGATTTTTGCGTCTGTGTGCATCAGGCATATTGACCTATAGTTTCCTTTTCCTGTAGTGTCTTTGGCTTTAACATCAGGGTAATGCTGGCCTCATAAAATGAATTTGGAAGTACTTACTCTTCTTCAGTTTTTTGAAGAATTTGAAAAGAATTGTTCTTTAAATTTTTGGTAGAATTCAGCAATGAAACCATCAGGTCCTGGGCTTTTCTTTGATGGGAAAGTGTTTCTTATTAATTCATCTACTTGTTATTGGCCTGATTAGGTTTTCTTTTTCTTCCTGGTTCATTGTTGGTAGAATTGTGTGTGTCTAGGAATTTACCTGTTTCTTCTAGGTTATTCAATTTGTTGGCATATACTTGTTTACAGTAGCCTCTGGTGGTCCTTTGCATTTCTGTAGTATCCGTTGTGATGTTTCCTCTTTGATTTCTTATTTTATTTGAATCATCTCTCTTTTTTCTTAGTCTTGATAAAGGTTTATCAATTTTGTTTATCTTCAAAAAGCCAACTTCTTAGTCTCATTGACTTATTGTTTCTCTAGTCTCTATTTTATTCATTTGTACTCTGATCTTTATTATTTTCTTTTTCTAACTTCAGGCTTAGTTTGTTCTTTTTCTAGTTCCTTGAGGTGTACTCTGAGGTTATTTTTTTATGTGATTTTTTCTTTTCAATGTTGGTGTTTAATCCTATAAACTTCCCTCTTAGACGTGACTTTGCTGCATCACATAGGTTTTGGTATGTTGTGTGTCCATTTTTACTTATCTTAAGATAATTTTTAATTTCCCTTTTAATATCTTCTTTGACCTATTGATTGTTCAGGAGCATGTTGTTTCATTTCCATGTATTTTTGAATTTTCTGAAATTCCTCCTGTTACTGATGTCTAGTTTTATGCCGTTGTGGTTGGAAAATATACTTGATGTGATTTTAATCTCACTAAATTTGTTAAGTCTGATGTTTTATTTACTTTTTTTCTGTATGATTTGTCCATTGCTGAAAGTGGGGTATTAAAGTCTTCTACTGTTATTGCATTACAGTCTGTCTCTCAAGATTTATTAATATTTGCTTTATAAATTTAGGTGCTCTGATGTTTGGTGCATACATATTTATAATTGTTATATCTTTTTGATGAAATGACCTCTTTCTGATTATATAAAGATCTTCTTTTGTCTCTTTTTACAGTTTTTAACTTGTCTGTTTGAAGTAATTATATCTGCATATAGATATATAGATTTCCTTTAATCTCTTTTAGTTTCCATTTGCATGGAATATTTATTTTCATCCCTACACTTTCAGTCTATGTGTGTCCTGAAAGGTGAAGGCAGTCTCTTCTGGCATGTTGTTGGGTTATTTTTTAAAATTCATTCAGCCACTCCATATATTTTTTATTTATTTATTTATTTATTTATTTATTTATTTATTTATTTTGAGACAGAGCCTTGCTCTGTCACCCAAGCTGGAGTGCAGTGGCGCTATCTCAGCTCAAAGTAATTATTGATAGGTAAGAACTTACAGCTGCCATTTTGTTAATCATTTTCTCATTCTCTATAGGTCTTTTGTTCCTTTCTTTCTGTCTTGCTGTCTTTTGTGATTAGGTGATTTTAAAATTTGTATTCTCTGATATTTTGCTTTTTATCTTTTATGTATCTACTGTATGTTTCTGCTTTGTGGTTACCATAAGGCATACATAAAACATAATTGTAATAGGCTATTTTAGGCTGACTACAACTAAATATTAATTGTATACAGAAACTCTACACTTTTACTCCATCCTTAATGTTATAATTTACATCTTTTTATATTGTGTATCCCTTAACAAATTTTTGTCACTACTATCTTAATAGATTTGTCTTTTAACTATTATATTAAAGATATAAGTGATTTATACAGCACCTGAATTTGTGCACTTACTTTTTCCAGTGAGTTTAAGGCTTTCATATGCTTAGTGTTACTAATTAGCATACTTTTCTTTCAACTTAAAGAACTCCCTTTAGCATGTCTTGTAAGACATGTCTGATAATAATGAAGT